CCGTCATCATCAGAATTATCATCAACATCAGCATCATCATCTGCATTATCAGCAGCAGCATCATCAGCATCATCATCATCATCACCATCATTATCATCGCCATCATCGACAACGGCATCATCAGCATCATCAGCAGCATCAGCATGATCAGTAACAATATCGGCATCGTCATCGGCATCATCAGTGTAATCAGCATCCTCATCTCTCTCCTCCTCATCAGCATGACCATCAGCATCATCAGCATCATCATCAACATCAACATCATCATCGTCCGCCTCATCATCATCAGCATCACCATCATCACCATCATCGTCAGCGCCAGCATCGTCATCATCCTCGTCCTCAGCATGATCAGAATCATCATCAACATCGACATCATCGACATCATCAGCCGCATCATCAGCAGCAAAATCATACTTGTCATCATCGCCGTCAGCATCATCAGTGTCAGCATCATAATCATCGTCATCGCCATCGTCATCCTCATCAGCATCAGAATCATCACCATCCTCAGCATCATCATCATCGTCATCAGCCTCATCCGCGTCATCATCATCATCAGCAGCCTCAACATTAGCATGATCGGCATCCCGCTCCTCCTCCACATCATCAGCAGCATCACCAGCATCGTCAGCGTCATCAGTATCGACATCGGCATCGCCATCGTAATGACCATCAGCATCATCATCATCAGCAGCGTCCTCCTCATCCTCATCCTCATCCTCGTCATCATACACATACGTGTGATGAGCACCATCCTCATCGTGCTCATCATCCGCATCCACATTAGCACCAGCTCCAACATCTGCATCAGCATCAGCATCAGCGTCGTCGTCATCATCACTATCATCATCATCATCATCAGCATCATCATCACCGTCATCATCGTCGTCGTCATCATCGTCACCATCATCATCATCACCACCATCGTTATCGTCATCATAGACATCGACACAATCGTCATCAACACCACCATCACGACCACCACCATCAGCATCAGCAGCATCATCAGCATCAGCATCAGTACCATCATCAGGATCATCGTCACCCTCATCCTCATCATCATCATAATCAGCATGATGATCATCAACATCACCATCATCAACATCATCACCATTACCATCCCCAGAGTCATCCCAAGAGGATGAGAGTGAGGATGCAAAGGGATGGAGGAGGCAAAAAAAACAAGGACTGGAGGTGAGGAGGAGCGGGGGAAAGGACGTGGAGCGAGGGTAGGGGAAGGGCAGCAGATGGAGGGAGAGCAGGAAGGGCAGCAAGAGGAGAGGAGTAGGAGGAGGAGGAGACGAACGCTCCATGCAGCCACATCGAATACGCGCAACCTCAAAAAGGGAGGAGGAGAAGGAGAAGGGAAAAGAGGAGGAGGAGGGCAGCAGAAGAAGGGAAGGAGAAGGAGAAGGAGGAGGAGGAGGAGGAGGAGGAGGAGGAGGAGGGGGAGGGGGAGGGGGGGGGGCAGGGAGGAGTGGGGAGGGCAAGAGGAAGTGGAGGAGGAGGAGGAGGAAAGGGGAGAGCGTGAAGAGAGAAAGGGGAAGGACGCAGGGAGGGCGATGACGAGGAACCTAACGATGACAGAAGGACAGGCAGAAACTCCTGCTGGTGGCTAGCTGCATAAGAACCTGGCTAAGCAGAAGCTCAAGCCCCATCCTCTCTCAGTGCCGCTCTCCTGCAGTCGGCATCACGAAGGTGCATTTTACCAGTCCCCACCGTTCTCCTCCTGGACCTCGACCTCCCTCTCTATCGTCGTTTCGTCAACCCTCGCGTCGCCCTCCCATCCTCCTCCTGAACCGCATCCCTCCCTCCCCCTCTCTATCTCGCTCTCTCTCGTTCTCTCAGTATCCCTATCTCTCTCTCTCTCTCTCTCATGTTATCTCTCCCTGTTTCTCTCGCTCTCTCGTGTCTCTCTCGCTCTCTCTCTATCTCTCTCTCTCTCTCTCTCTCTCTCTCCCTCTCTCTGGCCATCAGTATATATCCATCTCTCCCCCTCTATATGTATGTCCCTCTTTCTCTCTCTACACTCATGTCTAGATACGTACATGTATAACAATATGCATATACATATACGCGTACACTTACAGTCATGTACATGCATGTATATATATATATATATATGTATACAGATGCACCAATACAAATGCATGTGAATATACCTACACAAAAAGTACGCATGTACGTGTACAAACACATATGCGTGTATATTTGTGTATATATAAATGTACATATGCATACACATGTACATCAACATATACATATACATATACATATACACGTATAGACCTAGATACATGTACATATGCATATACATATACACATGCATATACATATACATATACAAATACATACATCTACATATACATATACGTGTAAAGTTGTACAATCATTCACATACGCATGAATATAAACATATACATATACACATACGTATACAAATACACACATATATAGACATATACCGATACAACTACGTAAACATTTGCATGTACAC